CTATTTCATCCAGACATTCATACAAAAGCCCTGCTGGAAGAGGGTCAAGCGAACATGACTTTCTTGGGGTATCAGCGAGGATTTTCCTCACATTCGATTCACTGACCTCAACAAATTCAGCCATAGAAGAACCGTTGAATATTGAGAATTCTGGAGCAATATCGATGCAACTGTCAAGTTTCGCTCTGATCCTCTTAACTTTTGTAATAAAGTAGTCATTTAGAGCGTCTGGCAGCTCTTCTACAGCAATGTTATTTGGCAGAGATGTAGCCTTGTTTTTACCGGTCAGCTGACCTACAATGCGAAATAAGTCCTTGCTTGAGCCGCTGCCTGTAATCTGATGACTAACATACTCAGTCCTAGCTGCAAGGACCAACCTCTTGGTTCCTTCCCTGTGGTCAACAAAGATTTGTCGGTGCACAGTCAAGCCCGACTTCCGCCATTGGCGTTCTGCACGTCGCTGCTTCTGCTTCGCTTCCTTAATTTCGGGCGTGAGCCAAGGGGCGGAAGGGCGGTCCGTAACTCGCCGTGTGGACAGTGGTGCATGTTTGTCTAAAATGACTCTGAGGCGACTGTTGTAGTCTGTAGCAGGGTCATCTACACCGCACTCAAGGGCTGCGACGTCACTTCTAAAAGCCGCTAGATCTATCTGTCGGAGGTCACGGGATGTTACTGATCGCAGAAGGCGTTCTGGCTTCCTCAAGTCAAAGTCGAAGGCGACCGGGAAGTGATCAGAAATAAGTTTGTCCTCAATAATGAGGTTTTGGATCATAGCTGCCCGGTCCTCTCTGACAACTAGCCAATCTAGGATGTGACCTCGCTTCTGCGTCGGGACACTGACAAGCTGAGTCATTCCGTGTGTGTCAAGAGCTGATTTTAGGGTCTTCACGTAGCTGTCGGTGGTGGAGTCGAAATGGCAGTTTATGTCGCCGATTATGATTACATTGTTGTTGCTGGTGGCATACATGTCAAGGAGCTGTATAAACTCCACAGTAAACTGACAGATCTTAAACTTATTTTGCTTATTCTGAGGTGGCATGTATATGCAGAGAAATGTCATCACTTGTTCACCATAATCAAGTTGCATTTTGCACATTTCAAATGAAACAAACTCGTCCGATTTTGAGAAGGCCACACTGTTTTTAAGGGAGTTCCTTTAAAGGACGGCAATACCACCATCACATAGATTGATGTATCTTGACTAAAATTAATCACTAATATCGATTACTATCCTGAAGGAAGCCTTGAGGTATTAATAACTTTTTGCAACATTCGTTTTTTTTTAAAGAAGGTATTAAAATAAAATAACCAACTTTACTACTACTTTAATCCATGTATTTTGACAAAACTTTGTACAAAAAGATGATTTAAATACCGAAGTGTACTTAATTCATAAAATCGTCTCCTTTATGTCTTTTTAAAATACTGTAGAAATTTTTTTGTTGCTTTTTTCGAATGCAGTGTCAAGAAAAGCCGGGTAAATTCTCTAGTAAAGATATACGTATATATTGTTTCCCTCTAATTCTATTTTCAGATTTTATTTACGAGATTCCCCAATGCCCGTCACTACTGTATTACTTATTTTAGAGTAAAATAATGTTCTACTTTCACAAGGCGCAATGTGAATTGCATCGTCATTTATAAAAAAAGTGACGAAAGCTTCGTAGACTAGGCATGTCGTCGCCTTTAGAACATGTAAGAGAGCACACGCAAAACTGAAATAAAAAAGCCATATGTCCCGTTTAAAATTATTTTTCCATGGTGACCTAAATGATAACTTTAGTATTTTTACCTTTAACTTCGTAAGGTATTTATCAAGTTAACATTTTGACACAATATGAATTCTTATTTTGTTGTATATTATATCTTACCCATTTTCATTATATTCATTTGTTTTCTTCTTTTAGTATTTTTTTTTTATAATAGTTATGATATTTTATGTGTATAAAATTTTATCTACATTAATGCTTTTTATCATGTTGATGTACTTATGAAGGAATTGCCCGAAATGCTTAAATTTGTGTTTGTCTTCAAACCTTTAAAACTTTATGTGATGTCTACTGTTGCAATTTTTGCTATAGGAATCTACCAAAATAAATGTAGTTTTAGAGATAAGATCACTAAAAAATATGTGTTTGGTCTTGATCTAAATATCTTTTGGTAAAAACAGGCACTTACTTTTTTTGTCCTATTGTTTCCAGGTAAAAGGATTTATCTATGCCAAAATTGTCAAATTATATGCTAAATGTTCGGTTGCTTAAGATCTTAAATATTAAATAAATAAAATAATTAAAAAATCGATATTACTTTTGATAAATGTAAAAATACAGCTTATAACTTTACATAAACCTAATATTCAACTATCTAACCAATCTTTGCAAGACTTTTAAGTTACATACTCTTAAAATGAATTTATATAAAATATTTAAATGTAGTTTATTTTCCATTGTAAATACCCCTCCACTACACATTCACAATATACTGACCATCAGGGCCTTCAAAACTGCACTCAAAACACATCTCTTTAAACTCTAATATCATGACTGATTCCCCCTCCCCACTCGTACAAATAAACGATGCTGATGGGTGCCGTCCATGTCTTGACATGTAAATAGTTCTGGAATGTGTGGAATAAATAATTATTAGTTTTGTTTTACTTAATTAATGTATTTTCATTTTTACTTTCATTATTATGTTTGTTAAATTTTATTTACAGCGTGGTGATCCCATCCCAAGACTAGAGTAACGCACTATATAAAACACCATTAATAATAATAACAATCATCATTACCATTGATTTAAATTTTGTGTAAATCGTTTTGCTTTATGAATAATCCTATTTGAACACCTACTCCATCAAAATTGGATATCAATGGTATAGTATAAACAAATTATCTTTTTTTTTCTAATTTTTCCTGTTACAATCTTTTCCACTTGTCCTCTCTAACTCTGACACATAATGCGTCACCACATTTAATCATGGGGAAAATGAGACAACTTCCGCTTTCATTTTTTTTTCTTCAATTTTAGCACTATTTGTAATAATTTAAAAACATTAGCACTGTTTACTCGCACAAGTAAGCGGCGAAAGAAATACATGTAACCAGCAATTAAACTATCTTTAATTCAGGAAAGAAATAAAGATATATGGATATGTGTTCAATATTTGTATATATGGGTTTGATATTCATGTGGTTTTCCAAATGTAAACATTTTGGTAGGAATTCCTTCTTTTTATAAGTCAAATTCGCTTTTTTTTTTAAAGCTTTAATATTAGAGCCGCAAAAATAAAATAATATAGAAGAGGAATGTAATAGGCGAACGCTAATCAGGAAGATATTTGTAAAAATTGACACATTTAAACTGGCTTAGACAATGGCGAAATCATTTAAATGTTATATTAACTCGTTAACGTTATTTTGTATTTTGATACGATGTTTATTAAACATAATTGTAGTTAAAAATATTTTTAGATTAACATATCGTTTAAAATGGATTGCAACAATATATCTATAGCGGTATAGGTTAAAAAGCTTTTGCAACGAAAATGGCGGCTTAAGAGATAATAGATGCCATTGCAAATTAAAAACAATTGAGGCGATTAAATTTTTTGACTTTCGTATCAAATGATAATGTTTTTATATAGGGAAGGTGCATTATATTATTACATAAAAATCGATGTACGAATACAAAATTATGTTCACCCTGTCTTAAATTTATAAATTATATTTTTAGTACGGATAAATACAACATATAATATATTTGTACTAATTTCAATAGTCTGACCCTTAAATATTTCTACAATTTATATAAATTTATAAATAATATCACCACATTTAGTTTTAATATTCACAGGTCTCCTCACTGTTTTAAAATTATAATTATTAAATAATGTTCCCAAGACGAAGATAGGCACACTGTTTTTTTGTTTTTTTTAAATAAAAAATAAAAAAATAAAATTAAAATAAAACAAAACACTACTCTGGCAAAATAAAATACAATTTCACACACTATATATCCACAACGAAAATTGAATATTACTCTATAAGTTAACATTTTTGGTTTGTTTGCGGATTCGTTTTACATACGTTTCTACATTACAAGATGTCTATTCAATGTTAATTATACATAAATGAAGTTTAATGCTTAGATTATTGCATGCACCTCTTCGTGTATTGATTTATCTTGTTAAATTTACCCTTTTATTATACCAGCGGACCACAGGATCTAACAGGGTACGGAATCTCATAGGGAACAGGGGTCCAACTCTTAACGGGATCCCATTGGGATATGATAACTCTGGTAACAGAATGCAACAAAGAATCGAGATCTCACAGAGAACGGGATTTAAATTTAAGTTGAATCCCGCGGTGAATTTGATATAAGCGGTATACGGGATTACACTGGGACCGGGATTATATCGGGAAACGAAATCTCATTGAGAAACGCGTATCCCATCGTAAAACGGGATCCAGTTGGAAACAGTATCCGACTGGGAGAACAGGATTTGATGGGAAACAGGAACACTTAGCACATTATATTTATTTTTTAAAATACGTTTCAATATTGTTTTCGGTCAGTTTAAATATTATAATAGCTTAGTGAATTTGACATTAAGAATATTTATTTTTCCGATATTATTACGTTATCTGATGTTTGTGAAAAGACTAAATTCAGTGATTTAAATTTTCAAGTGATATTGATTAAGGACAACGTTGACAACAAAAATGACACATCCTACTGTTTAATCCTGAATTAAATTTGTATACAGAGATTTATATATATATATTTATATTTAAATAAATTACATATATATATATATATATATATATGTATATATATATATGTGTGTGTTTAGGTTGTGCGTCCTCATGCGGTGAAGCAGAAGAAGGCAAAAAACACACAATCATTTTTAATTTTTCTAGAATAAACCATCCGTTAAGTGCAAGCTATGATGTTTTTAAGAATGAAAGTCTTTTAGCCAAATGCACATTTTTAAAGAATTGTCAAAACTTTAAAGATAAGTTTTATAAATCTGCAATAGATGTCCAAACAACTTTTTCTACAATAACACTTTTAATCACAATTATGAACGTATCTAAAAGTGAGGACACGGGTCTTGAAAATAAATGGAGCATTCTCTACAATGAGACAGTCGAAGACAGCTGCAAATTACAAGTTGTTCGTGAGTATTTAATTTGCCACACATGTTCAATTTTATGAGTATTTAGACAATATTTATGCAAAAGAATCGACAGCATTACAAGTGCAATGTTAATGCTTATTGAAAACATATATTAGTGCACATGTTAAGGCTTATTTGTATTATTTATGTTTCTGTTTGTAGTGTTCTCATCCATAAAAAATACCACATCAATTGTTACTAATGAAAAATAGTAAAATTATTCACAATGTGTATTTATTGATTGTAATTTACCAGAGAGACCTGAATACTTATGCTGCCAATACAAGGTGTCAATAAATTTTCTTAATGTAAGTTGCTGGACTTCACAAATGTCAATTTGGAAGACGTGTACAGCAAATATAAAATTATTTAAGGTAAGAACCGATTGTACTGACTTATATTATGATTATATGTACCAATTTATTAAAAGTAAGAGTCTATTATTGTTTCCAAGAAGTATAATGTATTTAAGAGTTGTTGCCATTTATTATCATACAAGGATTCCCATTGGGATGCAAATAACACACAAATGGCAGTAAACACAACTATTGAAAAAATATACTACACATCTGAATGTTCATTTGAGCTAACAATAAATGAAAGTACTTCTGGTAAGTATAAAGTATTTATTACATTTTATCATATAATCTATGAAGACTTGTATCCCCCAGAAAATTATGTTTAAAAGTATTTAAAAAACGTGTTTTCTAAAAAAAAAATAATTGCTGAAAATGACATTAAATTGATTTTAAAAAAAAATATATATATTGTAGGTACAATCAGGAAATGAGGAAAAGCCCCTTTTTATCATTCCACAGAACATCTTACCGTGACTCTTGGACTCTGCAAGGGGATGTTTAAAGCGGATTCAGCTGTCGCTTGTTGCTGCAAAAACACATTTATCAATGATTCCTATGTTTGGTTTTTTCATAATGGACCTAAAATGAAAACCTGCAATGGAACGTTAAGATCTTCTACCAATGACACAGAAACAAGAGACCTTCAAAAGAAAAGTAACTCAATATTTATCTAATATAGTATTAAAAAAAAGAAAATCCTGCACTTTCAACTAGTACCCAGATACATTTTTATGAATATTATTGTTTTTATTTGAAAACCAGTGATATGCATTATGTTAGTTTTTCCCTTAAAGTTTTCGATGGTTGATTAAAAATAGGAATTACTTATACATTTTTTGTGTAAAATAAAATTTAAAAAAAATATATAAACAATAATTATATTTATATATATACATATATATAAATCATATTACAAAATGAAAATATTTGGGTTTGGGGCTTTTGTCTACAAACGTTTTTACGTGAGTTTATAAATCTTTACAAAACTTGGCAATAATGTCCAGCATAATCTGGAACGAACTCTTGAAACAGAGGTAGGGTAATGAATATTTTATAACATTTTGATTATGGCCGGTGCCCTTATATGTATCTTGAGCAAACTTAGTACAAATGCACTAAATTATAAATATTAACATACCAAAGGATAATATATTCATAATAGTTATGGGTCGGAGTCCCAATTTAATATTTAATAATTATAAGTAACATGAATAGAAATATGCTTTTAAAACACTATTGTTTCCCAGTGAATCGATGGATATCGGATTAGCGTGGTAGCAAAGCACTTCATTGTCCGTATTGAAATATCGGTGGATTTACAACTAAGAATGCAATCTAGAATTTTCCAGTAGGTTCGACAACTTTAAAAGGCTATAAATATGGCAATATTAAATACCTTTTAATGGGACATATTTAAAATTTAAACTCAATAAATTATGTAAATGATTTTTGCAGTGCGCCCTATTTCTAGCTCACTGGATCGGTACAATTATTAAATGGGCCCCCACTTGGGCTAATCATTCAACGTAATGTACTATAGACATAGTAGTTTATTTAGTTGTAGATTTGTTCATGTTCGAAAAATAATTCCTTAAAATATAAATTATTTTCATGTTTTGAGTTGAATATTAAATTTAATATAGAATGTTTCGGAAAGTTCTACATGGGTTTCAAAACTTTAAAAATACAAATAGTCGAAGAAAATACTAAAGGTTATATGTGGATTAATGGATCTAGGCATAGCTTTATAGTAATACCCTTCCTTGTCTGTTTTGAAATATCGGTTAATTTAAAACTAATGATATCCCGTCTAGAAATTTTCAGAAATTTCGATAATTACAATAAGGCTTGGCATTTTAAGCCTTTTTAAGGGGACCGATGTTACATTTTAACTTTATCATTTATCTGAATGATTGTATAGTGCCCTATATTCCATGAAGAACAAAACACCTATTGAATGGACTCACACCGGGGACCCTATTTTAACTTGTTTGTACTGTAGTTACTCTCTTAGAACCAGTGGTTGCGAGGAGAGTGACGATCTGCTACATTAGGCAACAGATGGTATCCATAAATAACCGCTTTGGCTATGTAGCTGTTCTCGTGACGTCAATTTAGGAGCTACTAGGTTTTTTTTGGTAAGGCATAGAAATTAAATAGAAGGACGACTCAACCACTTCGCTTCGAAGCATGGAAAATAAGAAATATGTGCCATAGATTTGACAACGACGTTGAATAGATTGACAGCGCATGGATGCTGCTGTAATTGACAAAGAACTCACCACAATAAACATTGATATTGCCTGCCTTCAAGACACCCGAATAGCGGATAGTGGTAGCATAAAAAAAGCCAGCTTAACATTGTATTAGCAGGTAAAACCCTCAGATGAACATAGGCAGCGCTGTGTCAGATTTTCCGTAAAAAATGCATTATTGGCCTGCTTTGAAAATCCATCATTAAGAAATGAAAGGATTCTGCGACTATGGATGTAATCATCTGCAGGCATGGCCAATGTACTCAGTGTGTATGCGCCAACTCTTCAGTCGACTCCAGGAGATAAACATTTATCTATGAAGCCCTGGATCGATAATTATCATGTGTTCCTAAAACTGAAGCATAGAACTTTCTGGGAGATTTTAATGCTAGGGTAGAAGCTGACCAAGAAGCCTTGCCGTCAGGTCTTGGATATCACGGATTAGGAAGGATAATGATAACTGACACAGTCTGCTGGAGCAGTTATGCTCACATGGTCTCTGTGTTACCAAAATCTTCTTCAAAGGTAAACAACTCAAAGGTAATGGCTAAACTTATATACCTACATCAACTAGAACTCGTCATCACTAGGCGCGTAGAGCTCACCAGTGTACCTCACACCCGCAGCTATCATAATGCCGACTCTGACATGGACAATTCTCTCGCAGCAAGCAAGGTACGACTAATCCCATCAAATTGCATACTGCTAAAAATAAGTGACGTCCACGAATTAACATCCACAGCTCAAGTAACCTTGAAAAAGTCAGCAATTCACAAACATTTTGCAGGACGACCTTGCTACAGGAATACCTGATGATACTATTGACTCAATGTTGACTAATTTACGAGATGCTGTGTTCGATTCAGCCATGTCCGCCTACGGTAAAATGAAGCATACAAATAATGACTGGTACGAGGCGCATTGGAAAGTGATAAAACTCGTAGGAGTTTGTGTATGCATCTTCAGTCTGGGACCCATTTACCCAGAAGAGCATTGACAGGTTGGAGGCGGTCCAGCGACGAGCAGCACGCTTTGTCCTAAACCGCTACAGGAATACCTCAAGTGTTGGCAGCATGCTAGAAACACTAGGCTGGTCACCATTGGAGAAACGACGACGACAATCCAGGCTCTCCATGATGTACAAGATAAATAATGGGCTGGTCCACTGTTCCAGTATTAAACAGAAACTCGTACCTCTCCCCCATAGACAGCGACGAGGCCATGACAGGCAATTCAGGCTCATACCAGCAAGAAGCCAGTATAGGAGCTGCTCATTCCTGCCCAAGACAATCAGGGACTGGAACAATCTTTCAAAAGGAACGGTTGAGGCGACAACACTAGACACATTTGTGTCTATTGCCTCAAGCCTTCAAACCCCCAGTGCATGATTCCCTCACAAAGTGGCACTGGAAATCTGTGAAATTTCCTCATCAACACCAGGAACAGAAACATTGCAAATCCCATCTACATGCATAGGAGCCAAAATGATCAATAAATTGATCGTGGGCCCTTAATATATAGAAGAAGAAGAAGAGAGCCCTACTTGCCTGTCAGGATGTATCTTTTGCTAGTACACTACAGGCTCTGCGAACTGCAATTAAATATCCCAGCAGACTACCAGCCACTGTGCCAGCACTTACTGGCTTGAAATTTGCAACTCTATACAAGTTGATTCCAACGAAGGAGATGAAAGGATAATGTACACTGGCATCAAGAAGGCATTAAGTACAAACACTATAAAAATACCACCACTCAAGTCCAAGTCAGATCAAATTATCCAAAAGCCACAGATCAACTCCAGAATTAAGTATAGCATTATCTTGAACTATACCCAACAATGAATGTAGTCACAGAGCCCGCTCTGAATAAGTTGTCCGTCTTGTTAATAATGGAAGGACTAGATGAAAAGTCAACTTTACAGGAGTTTGAAAAAGCCTTTGACTAACTTGCTGATGGAAGGGCACAAGAGATTTACGGCATTTACCTGGAAGTCCTCAAAAATGGAGAAACTTATTTACTTCAGCCCTTATATGAGCTTCTCTGTCTCTGTTGGGAAACATGTCACGTTAACCAGGACATGAAAGACGCCAACGTCGTAAATTGTATACAAATAAAAGGACTAAAGTAATTGCAATAGCTACTGAGGAATTTCTCTCATTGGCTTAGTTGGAAAAACGTTTTCCCGTTTTTCTCTTAAATGATTGCATAGTGTGGCTAACAGTATCTACCCAGAGTCCCAGTGTTGCTTCCGGAGTGGGCGTTTAACAATATACATGATATTCTCTTTACGCCAACTGCATGAGAAATGTCGTGAATAGCACATGCCTCTTTATATTGCTTAAACAGATCTTACAAAGGCAGCTAACTTGGTAAGTTGGGGAGGCATTTTCAGTATCTTGCGAAGAATAGATTGTCCCAAAAGATCCCATACATTCATTTAACAAAAAACATAAACAGCGCAGTAACCTTGAATCGCGTTATCTCTGAGTCATTCTTAGTCACCAGCGGAGTCAAAACAGGTTGTGTACTGGCACCAACGCTCTTCTCCCTTTTCTTCTTGATGCTTATTCAGGGACTGTGAAAATGGAGTGTACTTACATACCAGATTTAATGGTAGGGTGTTCACCTTCGCTCGAATATCTCAGAAAACCGAGGTGATCGAAAATATACCTGATTCTTAATCCCAACGCTATTGAGATCATACCATGACCAGGATCCCACCGAATTTGGCATCCCACCGTGATCCAAATGCTATCTTAAAAAATTATTCAACCGGATTTGGGATCCCATTGGGATAAGGCTAACATTGGAAAACGTTATCCCAAAAGGATCAGGATCCACCGGGATCAGTATACCAATGGCGTCGAGATCCAAAGGGAATCCGAATCGGGATCCAAATGAGGTCTAGATCCTAAATGGTTTATAAAATTCGAAATGGGAAATGTGATGCCATTTGGAAACAAGATCATAATATGGATCGATATTCCAATGTTGTTG